GTTCTTTATATGTTTTAGCCTCCAGTCCCCTCATCATCTTTGTAACCTTCCCAGGGCCTTCCTTAACTTGCCCACCCTCCCTTCCCAGGATGTCAGGAAGGCCAAATTAAGGGCACAGCCCAAAGTGCAACTAGGCAAAGGTGGCATTTTGTAATCTTTTGTGTGTGTGTCTGTGTGACTGTGTTGGTCTTGCTAGCGCAGGCAGCAAGCAATTCATGTGGGGTTAAAAGGAACCGGGAGCCCTTATCCAAACACTGCTGTTTGCCTTCTTCCACCCCACCCAAAACGTTTTGGAATATTCCGCTGGTTGTTTTGAAGCCCTGGCCCAAGCTCTGGGTGAATCCACAGCAAAGAAAAAAGGGAGAGAAAGCCGACCTTTGCCAGCTGAGTCATCGGCCACAAGGACGTCTCTGAAGGCAGAAGGGAGCAGAGGCACATGGGGATGGATCCTGCCACAGTCTAGTGCTCCATAAAGCTATTATTGCTCGTGCTTGATTAGATCTCTGTTGGTGGGACGCCATGCAGGTAGTCCTCAACTTACGACCACAATTGAGCCCAAAATTTCTGTTGCTAAGGGAGACTGTTCTTAAGTGAGTTTTGCCCTGTTTTACGACCTTTCACAGTTGTTCAGTGAATCACTGCAGCTGATAAATCCGTAACCTGGTTGTTAAGTGTAATCTGGCTTCTCCATGGACTTTGCTTGTCAGAAGGTCGCAAAAGGGAGGGCACGTGACGGTCATAAATATGAACCACTTCTCAAGCATCCGAATTTTGATCACGTGACCATGGGGATGCTGCGAAGGTCGCATCTGTGAAAAACGGTCATGTCACATTTTTCCGTGCCGTTGTAACTTTGAACGGTCACTAAGCGAAATGTTGTAACTCAAGGACTACCTGGACAGATAGTCCTCGACATGCCACCATTCATTTAGTGGCCTTTAGAAGTTACAATGGCACTGAAAAAGCGAATTATGACCATTTTTCACACTTAGGACCGTTGCAGCATCCCCATGTTCATGTGATCAAAATTTGGATGCTTGGCAGCTGGCATGTATTTATGACCGTTGCAGTGTCTCCTGGTCACGTGGTCACCTGTTGCGACCTTCTGACGAGCAAAGTCAAAGGGGATGCGAGATTCACTTAACAACTGGGTTACTAACTTATCAGCTGCAGTGATTCATTTAACAATGGTGGCAAGGAAGGTCATAAAATGGGGCCAAACTCACTTAACAACTGTCTCACTTAGCAGCAGAATTGTGGTCTAAAGTCAAGGATTACCTCTTCTTCTGCAATGAGAGAATGACATGACTATCTCCCTGAAACCAACAGGAGCTGAGCACAGGGGTGGGATTCTACCGGTTCAGACGAATCGGTAGCTCCAACAATCAGCCGGGAGCGAACTGTTTCACTGCGATGATTGGACAGGCCTGCCCGCCCGCTTCTGCGCTTTACTGACCTATATTTTCTCAGCTGATTTGCGCAGCAGAGCGGACTGCCGCAGTGGTGAAATCAAATTTTTTTACTGCCAGTTCTGTGGCCGTGGCTTGGTGGTGTGGCTTGGTGGGCGTGGCAGGGGAAGGAACTACAAAATCTCCATTCCCACCCTACTCTGGGGCCAGCCAGAGGTGGTATTTGCCGGTTCTTCCGAACTGCTCAAAATTTTCGCTACCGGTTCTCCAGAACCTGTCAGAACCTTCTGGATTTCACCCCTGGATTGCCGCGCCTCAGCTGTGTTACTCCTCAGCAGTAACGCGGAAGATAAGTTTTCGTAAAGAATTGCATGTGATCACCGAACCGGGTTGTTAAACCTGCAGGATCCTACCACTGGCTGAGCACCATATAAAATATTTGCTCGCGCAAGTGGGGCCACGAGCAACAGGATATTCGTGGCGATGCTCACGAGCGGGGCTGTGCATACCGGCCAGCTAGTCATGCGGCTCAGTGGTCAATAGGTTGGGCCCCCTGCTTTAGACCCTTAGAAAAGGATGGGAGGGTCAGGGCGAACCTGACATCTGGGGGGGGGGCACGATGTTACAGAGGGCAGGAGCCACAGCAGAGAAGGCCCTTCTCCTGGACCCGACCAGCTGGAATAATCAGCCTGACAGGACCCCACAGAATGCCTCCTCTGCTGGCACGGGTGAGAGTTAAAAAGTGCTTTGTATAGCAATGGAAATTTGGTCATAAGGATGAGTCATGTAGTCATAAATCAAGGACTGCCTGTACTATGTTTCTATATGGGTTAGATTAAGTTACATGGTACATTTAAATATGTGAATCTTTTGTCTTCATTTTAACCGCTCTTGTGTATAAAAAAAAAGTTAGATTGTGCGATCACTGTTGTGTCATAATAACTTACTATTTTGGTTACACTTGATGAATAATAACATTAAAATAGAAAAGAGGAAACAAGGAAAAATGCTGAAAAAAATGGCACCCAGCTGGGATTTGCAATTTTACTGGGTTAAGAACAATGTGTGGCCTTTGTCATAAGGCTTACAAAAATGAGGCCAACAGAATATTAAATTTAATATCATTTAATTTACACTTGGATTGTGGCCTTCTCTTCTCCTGGATGTTAAGATTCGCATCCTCATTTTTTAATATTTGGGAATTTTTCTACGAGGTGTTTTTAAATATAGGTAGTCCTCAATTTACGATCGGTCATTTAGCGACTGTTTTGAGGTTATGACAGCCCTACCGTGAGGGTATGTACAATCTGGATCTGAAATTTTGGTGGTTGGACCCCCTGTTGACACCTGACCAAATTTCAGTCGTAACAGGGCTTCATTTGCTGTTTGTAGCGTCCTGCAGTCACATGATCACATTTTACGACCATTTAGCTGAAAATTGGCACTTACTTCCAGTTTTCTGCCAAATCATGCCTAGGGCGAACTATGGGTTTGCTTAACGACTGCTGCAAAGAAAATTTGAAAAATTGACTTTGGCTACGTGACTGACTCATTTTACAATCACCATGATTTATGACCATAATGGGCAGTCTCCATTACAGTCATATGTCAAGGACTAACTCTTTAACAGATTAACAGAGTTGGAAGGGACCTTATAGGTCATCTAGTCCAACCCCCCACTCAAGCAGGCGACCCTACACCATTTCTGACAAATGGCAGTCCAATCTTTTCTTGAAAGCCTCCAGTGATGAAGCTCCCACAACTTCCGAAGGCAACTTCTGTTCCATGGGTTAATTGTTCTCACTGTCAGAAAATTTCTCTTTATTTCTAGGTTGAATCTCTCCTTGATCAGTTTCCATCCATTATTCCTTGTCTGCCCTTCAGGTGCTTTGGAAACTAGCTTGACCCCCCTCCTCTCTGTGGCAGCCCCTCAAATATTGGAAGACTGCTATCATGTCTCCCCTGGTCCTTCTCTTCACTAGACTAGCCATGCCCAGTTTTTTCTTCTTGCCCACGGAAGAGCGAGCCTGCTTGGGAGTGTTTCCAGGGCTTCTCGTCTTGCCTCTCCGGCCCACTAATCTCCAAGCCTCACTTTGCGACCCTAATGGGTAGGGAAAAGCCAATGCTGAGCTAGCCATCCCGCAAAAGCCGCTGTTGGGCAGAGCTGCAATGGGGGGGGAGAGAAAGAGCGATCAGATCCCGCCGCCGTGCCTGGGCGATCGCGCAGTTTATCCCTGCCCGCCACTAATATCCAAGTCTCGCTTTGCGACCTTAAAGGGGTCGGGAAAAGCCTAAGGCTGCCTGGCCACCCGCAAAAAGTTCCGATGGGCGGGAAAGAGGCGATCAGGTCCCGCCACCATGCCGGGGCTAACCCTAACCCCTCCCGGCTCCTGCCCCTAATCTCCAAGCCTCGCTTTGCGACCTGAAGGGATCGGGAAAAACCTAAGGCCATCCTGCAAAAGGTTCGGCGGTCGGAGCTGCAAAAAGGATGAAAAGAGGCGATCGGGCCCTGCCACCGTGCCCCAGGGGTGATCGCACACTTCACCCCTCCCGCCCCTAGTCTCCACGCTTCACTTTGCGACCCTAATGGGGTCGAGGAAAGCCAAAGCTGAGCTGGCCATCCTGCAAAAGACCCCATCAGGCGGAACTGCAAAAGTGGGGGCGGGGGGGGGGAAGAAAAGAGGCGATTTGCTCCCGTAGCCGAGCCCGGGACATCTGACCTTATCGATCAGAAAGGTCGGCAGTTCGGCGGTTTGAATCCCTAGTACAGGTCTCCTGCGTGAGCAGGGGTTGGACTAGATGACCTCCAAGGTCCCTTATTTATTTATTTATTTATTTATTTACTTACTTATTTATATTTATTGGTTCGATTTATATGCCGCTCTTTTCCGGAGACTCAGGGCGGTTTACAATGCGTTAAGCAATAACCTTCATACTTTTGTATATACCTGCTTAGTAGGGCTTTTGCCCCCCCCCCCAAGCGGTGTTCTTTTTTTTATACAAAGTCAGCTTATTGTCCCCACAATCCGGGTCCTCATTTTACCTACCTCGAAAGGATGGAAGGCTGAGTCAACCTTGAGCCTGGTGAGATTCGAACTTGCAGTAATTGCAGGCAGCTGGTGTCACTTAACAGTGCTTTAGTCTGCTGCGCCACCAAGGCTCCTTCCAACTCTGTTAGTGTTATCCCCACTCCACCCCACCCGGATAGAGGGGCAAGCAGCCTCCCCGGGCCGAACTCGCCCCTGGCCTCGCTTTTGGGCGCCCGCGAGCGCCCGCCGCAGCAGCAGCAGCAGCAGCCTCGAGCCGGCGAGGTTGGCGGCGTGACGTCAGCGGGCAAATCCCCCTGTGCTGACTTTGCAGCCTCAACCTCCTCCGCCGCCCCCCCCCCGCTCCGCCTTCTCTTCTCTCCTCTTGAGTTGGAGCTTTTTTTTTTTTTCTCTCCTCCCTCCTCCCCCTCCTCCTTCGCAAGCCCCACCCAGCCCCGAATGACTCTCCTTGTGTGCGCGCGGGCGGGCGGGCGCGGACGCGCGCGCGCGTGTGTGTGGGATTTAAAAAAAAAAAAAAAACTTTTTGGAGCGCCTCCCTGAAACATTAAAAAAGCCACCGGGGCTGGCAGCCGGACACCTTTGACGAACCGGGCAGCGCAGGCGGCTGCTGCTGCTGCTGCTGCTTGCAAGAGCGAGAGATCCTCGCCTTTCCTACCGCTGCTTTCCCACGACCATCATCCGAGTTTGGGGGGCTCTTCGCCTCCTCCCGTTTTACGGATCTTTTTGCCGGCGCTTCAAAAAGACAGAGCTCCCCGTCTTGGTCCGGAGCGAAGGATACCCCTTTATTTTAGGACGTTTCGGATTGTCGCTTATTCCAGTTGATTTAAAGTCCCTGTTTTGTTTTGATTCGGGATCGGTCCGGCGGAGAGGCGTCTGACGGCATCGGTGAGTGAGTCCCCTTTGGAAGCGCTTCGGAGTTGCCCAGAAAAGAGGACCCGAGGCGGCTCTCGGGGCTGGGGAACGCGATCCCTGATCCTTGGGTTTAGCCCGGTTCCCACGTTACGCGGAGGAGATGCGGGACCAGCTTTCCCGTGGGAAGCAAAGAGATCGGATCGGAACCAATTGGGCGATCCTTCTTTGATAGGGTGTTTTTATTTTTATTTTTTTTGGCCTCTCTGGCAGAGTTCCGGTCTTTCTTTTTTACTTCGGAGTAAATCCTACTCAACCGAGTAGAGCCGAGCAGTGAGTAAACCCACCCAAAACTACTTCCCCAAAGCTGTTTGAAAGCGACAACCTGTATTAGAAGCCCCTTTATACGTTTAGAGTAGGGACTCTTGAGTTAGATCTATTTTGTCCCGCTGAAGACTTGCTTGGCACACTACTAGATCGAGAAGAGATCTTGGTCACAAATAATAAATCGGGCGATGCTGGAAGAAGCAGGTTAAAAATAAATAAATAAAAGGATCGGTCATTGCTAACCTTTGTATCTTCAGGGTGGCAACTGCTTTGGAGAGTTAGGTCCAGTTTATGGTTCTTGGGGAGGATTCAATCCGGATTAAACAAGCCTCTAGCATCACAAGGGGAAGGGGACTGTTTTAGGATGTGACCCCCATCCTGGGACTTATTCCCACCGAATTAATATAGAATATTAAGTCTTCACATTTTATGGGTAAGAGGGGGAAAAATTGTATGCTGTTTTTCCTCTCTCTTTTTTTTAAATCCAAGAAAGATTTCCCCCTTTTCCACACCCTTTTCCAGGGGAAAAAAAAAAAAAAAATCAGTACAATGGGCCGGAAAAATCCCTGTGGACATAAAACAGATGTGGGATTTCGGAGCCTGATAGGAGCGAGGATGGGCGAAGAACAAAGCTTTGTGTGTCCTTCCCTCCAGCTTTTGTTGAAAAAAATATTCCCCCCCCCTTCAACCAGCCAGATGCTCTCTCTGAACTAAACTTTATCGTTTTACTTGACAACGAAGAAATAATTAGGAAGAAATAGTTCCGTAGTTTAATAGAGGGGATTTAAGTCCATCTGGCTTGACTTTTCTTTCTTGGAGTCTTGATTCTCTCTCTGGGTCTACCTGTGAACATCTGTAAAGGGTTAGGAAGCCTTTCCTGAATTTCCAATGTGCTGGGGGGGGGAAGGGAAAGAAAAAAACTAGGAAAAAAAGGGGGGCTGCTCCAGTTAGAACTGAAGAAGCTTCTTGGATGAGAAGTGAAATGTTTTCAAGGGGAAAAAAGAACCCAAGAAAATCCAGTTCCCTTTTTGGAAAACAAGCTTTGAGACAATCATGATCTGGATCAGGGGTCTCCAACCTTGGCAACTTTAAGCCTGGAGGACTTCAACTCCCAGAATTGCCCAGTGGCTGGGCAATTCTGGGAGTTGAAGTCCTCCAGGCTTAAAGTTGCCAAGGTTGGAGACCTCTGATCTGGAATGTTTTAAGAATCTCCATAGACTTTTAGCCTGCTTTGAAGGACTCTGTCAAAAGAGAGTCCCTTGGTTTGTGGCTTGGATGGCCCACTAAACTTTTCCAACCCTTCCCAATCTATTTTTGAATATCGTAAGGACTTAAGATCCTTTTTTTACAAAACTTCCCTGTCCTGATTTTTGGGGGAAGTCGGGGCATTTAGACAAGTCCAAGAGAAGCCAGAAAGACGGTCCTAAGTTTTTCCTTTCTCCTTTCCTAGAGAGAAAGGCAAGATAACACAGATGGGGGAAAAACATACATATATTATATGAGATGTCTGTTGGGGTAGAATCTGTGTCTCCCTTTGAGGGAATCCCATTCATTTATCCGACCGCTTTTTTTTCCTGCCCAAAGACAAGGCAAGCACCCTCCTTTGGAGAGGTGGGGCAGCCAGCTTCTGCTGAGCCCTTCCACCTCCCATTGATTTTTGCCCACGTCGGCAGGATCTGACTTAATCCCCGTGTCTGGCGCTCACCGTGTCCCCCTCTTTTCCTTTGTTGCATTGTCAGGATCTCTTCCATTCATCCTTGTTTCCCCCCCCACCCCAAACTCTCCTGCAGGAAAAACGGATCCCTACTCTGCTTTCCCAGCTTTCTTTCTTTCTCTCTCTCTCTCCCACTCCATTTTCAGGCTTCCCAGAAACTCCATGATATGGTGGGAGTACAGCGTGGGTGACCAGAGTCCGATGCCTCCCTCTAGGCAAATAGATTAATGCACACACACACACACACATGCATATTAATTGCGTTATTCTCCCGCATGGCTTCTGACCTGGAAACCTGGGTGTGTGCAAGCTTCTTTGTTTACTCTGTGATGAAAGACCTGTACTCTGAATATGCTCAGGAAGACTGCGGTTATACTTTATATTCTCCCCAATCCAGGAGCCGGAAAGAATTAACTTTGTGGAACTGGTTCCGATGATGCCGGAGGATCCAATCTGGGTCGGTCACCGGGACCAGAAACCGAAAGAGCTCAGTTGGGGAAAGCGTTAGACTGAAGATCTAAAGGTCCCTGGTTCCACCCCAGGTTTTGGCAATTGCTTTGGCGGCTCCCTAGGTGGCTCAGTGGCTAAGACGCTGAGCTTGTCGATCAGAAAGGTCGGTGGTTCGAATGCGTGAGCAGGGGGTTGGACTAAATGACCTCCAAGGTCCCTTCCAACTTTGTTACTGTTACTTTGAGAGGTTTAGTCTTCCGAGCTTTCGGACTCCTGCTGGAGGCAACTTCTCTCTCATTCGGACATGTCACAAAACCTCTGGTCTCAGTGACCGTCGCAGATTGGATCCTGGGACACTATTTGCCTTCGTTCATGAAGTTTGGATTCGTGGGCAGGGAGGCCATCTTTCACTGCTGCTCTTCCTCTTCTTCTCCTCCTCTCCCCCACCCCCATTTAAACCCTCCCCACCTTGGGATACCTTCCCTCTTGCCCTCCTCTGTGCCTCTGGGCTGGATCTACAGCTGCTTTTCTTTTCCGTCTCTTTCCAGTCACCGCTTCGCTGGCCACCCACTTGGGTGTCCTTGGGGAAACTCGGGATGGTTTTGCCTTCCTGATGGAAGAAGTGGGGGGGGGAAGGGAGGACAGTTTGGGTGGTGAGTCCCCCAGCTCTCCCGAATACCCCCCCCGGAAGGCGGGGTGGGAGATTGAAGGCATTGTTTGGTGCCCGGGGAGAGGAGGAGGCCGCTGGAAGTGGGAAGATGGGTGAATCCAAAGATGTGTCACTGAAGCATTCAGAAAATTAAACTCGGCCACACGTAACGCCCTGTGCATTGGCAGAGGCTGGGAGGAAGAGGGGGGGGGGAGAAGGAAGGAATCTCAGGCCATCAGAGCTTGCCTGCCTGAGTCACGCAGGTCCCAAGCTCTTCTTCTCTATCCGCTTCGAATATTGCTTCAGCGTTTGCCATGCCCCAGTTAAAAGGGGGAGGTTTTCCGTGGGCAAAATGCTGGCTTGTAAGGAAGGCCCAGAACTCCACTATGGGCAGTGATGGCAGCTGGGAAACTGTCCTTTCAGGACTGGGTAGAGATGCATTGCAAAGTAATCCAGATTCCAGATCCTGCCACCTTATTTGTTCAGAGTAGGTTGCAGAGGCCAGGAAAAAAAAAAAAAAAAAAAACCCCATTTTCCCCCCTTGATTCTCAAAGAATTGTGGATTTGGTGAGGCACCGGCAAACTTTGGTCTCTTGAATTATTCCTGTGTGTCAGCATCTTCAGTACCCTTCTCACTCCGGAACCCATGTTTCTGCATCTGAGTTTGCAGGTTTGGGTTTATGGCGTTGAATCTGCCAGCATTCCCCCCCCCCTCCAGAACACATTGATGGAAGGATCCTGAAATCTCCTGTAGGTTAATGTTGCTCCTTTTAATTAAAAGAAGGAAAAAGAAAAACAGGAATAGTGCTACCGATTTGCAAAGGGCAAAGAGTTTTTTCCTCTCTCTTTTTGCCTTTTGCGTTGACACTTCTGCCCCTATTTTGCCTGGAGGAGGACCTGGGGAGGGGATATACATTCACTCACTCACCCACCCACCCATTTACTAGGGTTCTATAGTCCAGAAAGCATGTAGCTGACTTTATTTTTCCTTGGTTTGAAAATAAATCGGCTTGCAGGCTTAAGCTGTTGGTGCGAAGGGGTGTGAGTTTGCAGTGCTTGTCCATCCCATCTCAGTTGGAAAAAATGCAGTGGGGCTGGAAAATTTCCAACCTAGTTTTGCAGGCCAGGGGAACGGCATTGCAAGGCCTTTTGACATTTTAAACTGGGGACTCTCTCTACTTTCCTTTCAAACAGGAGTGGGTGCTGCTCCCACTGGGGACCTTCGGATGATACCCGGAAGGCCCTGCTTCAAAAGGAAGGGGAAGGGATGGGAATGTCCTCCATGGGAGATTATGTTGAATTAAAAGTCAGCTGCAATTAATACGCCCTCCACACACACCCAGACACGCTGAATCCTGTTCCTTTCCTGACCGGTTCAAACTTACGAGGTCAGCTTGGAGGCAAAAACCTCCCAAGCTTTGGGGTATCCCAGACACTGAAAAAGACACAAAACCTTTGATTGCACTAAGTTGTAGGGCAAAATTTTGAGGTGCTTCTCTTCTGGGGGAGTAACATTTATTTATTTATTTATTTATTAGTTCAATTTATATGCCACCCTTCTCCAAAGGCTCAGGGCGGCTTACAATGCACTTATAGCAATAGCCTTCATTTTTTGTATATACCTGCTTAGTAGGGCTTTTGGCTCCCCCCATAAGCGGTGTGTCTACAAAGTCATCTTATTGCCCCCACAATCCGGGTCCTCAATTTACCTAGCTCGGAAGGATGGAAGGCTGAGTCAACCTTGAGCCTGGTGAGATTTGAACTCGCACTAATTGCAGGCAGCTGGCAGCTAAGTGCTACATAACAGCACTTAGTCCGCTGCACCACCAAGGCTCTTCCTTGCCTTCCATGCAAATGAAGAAGGAATAATACTTAGTTGTTATTGACTCTTTGGCC